AGGGGAGCAGCAGGCGAGACAGGAGCGGTCTGCTGCTCCATGTGGGTCAGCTCCCTGGCAGGGGATCTAACTCATGCTGAAGCAGCCACTGAGGCTTGCTTCATAATGCTGCGCTTTAAGCCACTTGCTGTACTTTAAGGGGCCACCAGGGAGGGCCCCTTGTTGGTTATTTTTGGTATAGAACTATTGACCCTAGCAGCACTGCTGAACTTTTATTTTCATTACTTGTCTGTTGTTTTGCTGTGTTTCCGATGTCAGTGATCACATCATCTGCAAAATATGACAGTTTAATCTCTTATCTGAATCTTTTTGACTTGTTTCTTTTTCATGCTTTATTGCTTTAGCCAGGACCTTAAAATCTTTTATGAAGTGAACTCTCTTGTTTGTGACCATATAAAGGATGAGGCTAGAGTTTCTTCTTTAACTGTTCTTTGTTTTTGTTTTTTGCTGTAGACTTTTGGTAAATAACCTTTTATAGCATGTGTCAACTTCAGCCTGTTTTCTCAGGTGCCAGCTAGACTGTCCCCAGTCTACCATCCTAGGCATTCAGAAACCATGTTTACGTGTGGCCTGGCCCACCAAGCTAGAGCTTGCCAGCTGCTCTTGTAGGAGTCACTGCCTTCTGAGGCTTCTCCTGCTTCTCTTCTTTAGGCCCAGGTTAGATCTACAATTTCTCCAGCGGTTCCTGCAGATACAGAAGGTTTTATTTCCCTCTTGGCCATCTCAGAACGCCTTGATGTTCCTGACCCTTTTGTGTGTGGCCCTATTGGGTGAGTGAATGAGCCCAGGCTAGAGGGGGGAGGACAGCCTCGGTTTGGGGTTCCCTTCCTTCTCTCTAAGGTGTTAACGAGTCAAGGGCTCAGGAGAGACTCCCTCCTTCTCACGCCTCATCACTGATTTCTGGCTCCTCTCCCTCCCCCAGAACAACTGGTGATCTACCAGGTTGGGTTAATCCCCAGTCAATACTACGGGGTCCTGGGAAACAAGGACTTGGATGGGTTTAAGACCCTGACATTCCTGGCTGTGGTGCTCATCGTTCTCAACTCCATGGTAAGGTCTTCTTATGTCTCTCGTCCTCGCTAGCCAAGTGTGAGGTGAACACCCAGTGGGACTCAGGAAGCAGGAACCAAACTGGGTGTATGCTTCCTCACTTTTCTAGGAACTTGAGGTCACAACCCCAGCAGGGCAGGCTCTTGGAGGAACTGGGGACTAAATCCTCTGGTGTTTGATGCTCCTGGGGCTAGGCCATAAGGTTTTGGTTTAATTCAGCATTTAGTGGAAACAATCATTATCCCTTTCATTCCAGAACTCTTGCTTCAGAGAGCAGAGTAGCTGCTCCTGCCCCTCCTCCGGGGGGCAGAGGCGGTGACAGCCTGCTACCGTGTGTCCACACCTGGCTTCCTTGCACCTGCTGCTTTCTCTCGAAGAATGGTCTCACTTTTCCAGATTCCTCTCGCCTCCCTGCAGTTGCTCCTCAACTCTCACCTTCATGTTCCCTTCGCATAACTCTGCCCTTTCTCTCAATTGTTAACTAACACTTGGAGTTTGTCTGTTGTCACACTCCTCACACCTTGTGATTATCTGCTTCCTTGCTAGACTGTGGGCTCCTTATCCCCTGCCACTTAGCATGCAAATAAATGTTCCATACATGGTGAGTGATGAGAGTCAGCTCTC